CCGTTGACGACCCCATCACGGTAATTAGCTCAAGGCCCCAGGGCACCACCCACGGAGGCTGACACCGACGGGCAAGTCGCCGGAGTCCGGTCATGTGGAATGACCGGGGGAGGTGCTGTTGAGATTGTCCCCCATGAAGGGGGTTGCGTGTGTTGTTTGTGCTCCAAGAGATAGGTAGACCATGTCCGAAGCCCGATCCCAGCCTCTCCTAGCCAGGCACCACCAATTGCGTAGCGTCAGTGCACAGCGCAAGCAGCAATTCAGAGTTTCGACTGACATCAATCGCCGTCTTTGCCTTGTTTCCTCTCCTCGGGGGTGCCGGTTCTGAGTCGGTGAAGAGCTTGCTAGGCCTTCTACCCCCTGCCCGCCGAGGACCCGCTCTGCCTTGTCCCCCCGTGGTTGACCAGCCAAGTTCCTGTCGCTGCCGTCGCCGCCGCCCGTCTTGGTGTTTTCGCTCCACCCGCCATCATGACTAGCGCTCGTAAAAACAGCCTTGCTCACCTCGGCCGGCTTCTGCCAATCAAATGCGCACACTCTGCTCTAGAAGGTACTTGTGGTCGCCAAAAAGGTACATCCAGAGATCCTTCGAAATCTTGATCATGACTGTGTCAACACTGTATAGCGTGCTCGTCGACCCTGACGCCCGCATTCATCTGTCCCGGACCCCACCGTAAGCTAGAGCCCGTTCCTTTCAAAAGATCTTGATCTCCTCGTCTTTGAGCTTCGAGAGCTTCCAATCTTGTGCTTCAATTCAATCCTCATCCTCAGTTTCTTGGGTCTGCGCTGTTCATCTTGACCGATTCCTCCAACAGCAGCCTTGTTATCCTGAAAGAAGCTTTACAAGCATAAACTTTGAATCATCTCAACTTTTGCTTCATCTGAGCTTCTCACTCGCTTCAACATGACGACCCAGGTTCTTCCCGCTTCCGCCAGCTCGGCCTACGACTACATCATTGTCGGCGGCGGCACGGCTGGTTGCGTCCTGGCCTCGCGCCTCTCCTCCTACCTCCCCGAGCGCAAGGTTCTCATGATCGAGGCTGGCCCCTCCGACTTCAACCTCAACAACGTCCTCAACCTCCGAGAGTGGCTCAGCCTCCTCGGTGGTGACCTCGACTACGACTATGGCACAACTGAGCAGCCCAATGGCAACAGCCACATTCGGCACTCTCGCGCCAAGGTCCTCGGTGGTTGCTCTTCTCACAACACCCTGATCTCTTTCCGTCCCTTCCGTCATGACATGGAGCGATGGGTTGCCCAGGGCTGCAAGGGCTGGGACTTTGAAAACGTGATGCGCCATGTTGACAACCTTCGCAACCAGCTCAACCCCGTCCACCCTCGTCACCGTAACCAGCTGACCAAGGACTGGGTCAAGGCCTGCTCCGAGGCCATGGGCATTCCCGTCATCCACGACTTCAACCACGAGATCAGCGAGAAGGGCCAATTGACCCAGGGCGCTGGCTTCTTCTCCGTCTCCTACAACCCAGATACTGGCCGTCGCAGCAGCGCCTCGGTCGCATACATCCACCCTATCCTCCGCGGTGACGAGCGACGACCTAACCTGACTGTCCTCACTGAGGCCCACGTCTCCAAGGTTTTCGTCGAGAACGATGTCGCTACCGGTATCGCTGTTACTCTCAAGTCCGGCGAGAAGCACGTCCTCCACGCCCGCAAGGAGACCATCCTGGCTGCTGGTGCTGTTGACACTCCTCGCCTGCTCCTTCACTCTGGTATTGGCCCCAAGGCCCAGCTGCAGGGTCTTGGCATCCCTGTTGTCAAGGACATTCCCGGTGTCGGCGAGAACCTCCTCGACCACCCCGAGACCATCATCATGTGGGAGCTCAACAAGCCTGTCCCTGCTAACCAGACCACCATGGACTCGGACGCCGGTATCTTCCTCCGACGAGAGCCCACCAACGCTGCTGGCAACGACGGCGATGCCGCTGATGTCATGATGCACTGCTACCAGATCCCCTTTACTCTCAACACCGAGCGACTCGGATACCCCGTCATCAAGGATGGTTACGCCTTCTGCATGACCCCCAACATCCCTCGTCCCCGCTCCCGCGGCCGCATCTACCTGACTTCGGCCGACCCTACCGTCAAGCCCGCCCTTGACTTCCGCTACTTCACCGACCCCGAGGGATATGATGCTGCTACCCTGGTGCACGGTATCAAGGCTGCTCGCAAGATCGCTCAGCAGAGCCCCTTCAAGGAGTGGCTCAAGCAGGAGGTCGCCCCTGGCCCCAAGGCTCAGACTGATGAGGAGATCAGCGAGTACGCTCGTCGTGTCGCCCACACTGTCTACCACCCCGCTGGTACCACAAAGATGGGTGATATCGAGCACGACGAGATGGCCGTCGTTGACCCCGAGCTCAAGGTTCGCGGCATCGGCAAGCTGCGCATCGTTGACGCCGGTATCTTCCCTGAGATGACCACTATCAACCCCATGGTGACCGTGCTCGCCATCGGTGAGCGGGCTGCCGAGCTCATTGCTGCCGAGGAGGGCTGGAAGCCCAAGCACGCCCGCCTGTAAATGGCCGGGAAAGTGGTTAGTGTGAAGCCTGCCTAGGCCTCTCGGAACGACGGCGCATGTATGGATACCAGGTGTTTGTATGATTTAATGATTAGCGCATGTTTTCTGCGACAGATAACAGCCATGGAGAGTATGATACGGCACAGGAATGCCGCCAAAGAGGCATTATTGCCAGCGTCGTTTGTTAGATAAATTCCAAATCTGTTTTGAGAACAACTTTCGGAAGTCTTTGACCCGATTCCGCGCGGCGGTGATGTTTAGCGATGCTCTCACTGGCTCGGATATCAATTCAGCCTTGACGTAGCCATTGGCCCAAGCTTTTGGTCAGCACCAAAATAAGATTGGCCGAGGGGATACAATGGTAGGTGGAACGCCGGGCCGACGAGTTTGCTCCAGCAGAGCAAGGTCTTAATTACACCTTAATCAAACCAGGAGCGAATGGATGCGAAAAGGTTAGTCATGATGAAGATAGCAGTTTCTGATATAGATTAAGATGGCGAACGATTTTGAAGGGTCCCGGATCTTCGGGTTCCCTGCGTGATTCATCGGTTGTGGGATGGGATTCCCAGGGATCGACGGAGAATCAGAGATTAGGAACCACGGCCCAAAGCTGCCATCAGAGAACACCATGTGATTGATCGAATGTCATGCATCATACGGAGGATTGCATGCCACCTTCTTTCCGAACCCTGTATGCCGTTGATTGAATTCGTTGGAGATGGCAGACGAGCAACCCTGCAGAAGGATCCAGATCCGAAGGGTCGAGATGGACGCTCGCGACGAAAGCGAGGTACGAGTGAGGCAAGTGGCTCGATCTTTGTCGGTGATGCCGCTTATTCTTCGGCGATGAAGGGAAAAAGCACGGCTGAGCGACGAATCTAAGGACGGAAGTGGCAAACTCATGGGTCGTGGCCCGGAGAGCCGTACCTTCGTGAGGTCTGGAACAGGAAAGATGTGGGGAGCTACCGGGATTTTCGGGGCGGAGCGTCTTGGACCGAGTGGATGGTTTGACGGATGTCAGGGCCGAAACGTGCTTCGAGATCCACTCATCCCGCCCTCACGGCGTTTGTTCAAGGTGCATCAGCATGGGGCCCCTCTAGAACAGAGATAAAGCAACCGCGGAGGCAACGGGAGAATGACCTTCTCAGTGACCCGGTCCGCCCAGCCGTCTGCTAAAGGAGGCCCACGCTGAATGGGGCCAGGCGTTTCTTGAGTGAGCTTTATAGAAGCAACCGCTGCAAGCTGAAGAATGAATGGCACGCGTTGGCTTCGGTCCTTGGTTTTCGATCCTTGGTCCATGAATTGATTTGAGTTGATCCAGTTCAATATCTCCATGGAGGCAATGCCCAGGTTGCGCGAGGTTCTCATTTCTTTCCTTCTGTTAAACCGTTAACTAGCACAGGCACCTCTTCACGACTAAGACTCGAGCGACAGGTTAGTTGCCAGTCCGCTTGCACAACGACAGTACCATTTTGCCCAACGTTTTCTAGAAGGGATAGCATCGGCGACACAAGTCATGGCTACACCATCAGTTGACCTGCCTCCACCATCTGACGACGACGTTGCAGTGCCCATGCTTGACCATACCCCAGGCCTAGCGTCCGCGATTGGCGTAGCGGCAGTGGCAGCCGTGGCAGGACACCAAGTTCTCGGAGGTGGCCTTCCCCGGAGCATTGACGAAGACTTGTGCCACAAATCATGCGACGGCTACGACAGTGACGGTAGGGAAAACGAAGAAGACGGCAAAGGACGACAGCACGATGAGGAGAAGAGAAGAAGAAGGAAAAAGAAGAGAAACATTCGCGAAGAAAATCAGCAAAAGGGTCTAAGAGAAGCCCAAGAAAAATGGGATGCTGCAACAGCCATGGTTGCAGTAAGAACGGAGGCAGGGGCGGAGGCGATTCCGGGGAGTGTCGCATCAAGAGGAGAAGGAGGAGCTGGAGTTGGAGTTGGAGCTGGAGCTGGAACTGGAGAGCCTGAAGGGGTCCTCCTGTCGCCTAGAAAAGGCACCGATTTGGCAGGCCAACAGGTCAGAGCTGCACTTTCCCGTTCCCGCCTGGGTCGTTCAACCCCCTCATCCCCAAGCTTGGGCTCCCTCTCGGTCACAAGCACAAGCTCGTACCATCTCACCAGCACCAGCACCAACGCCAACACCAACAATCTTAGCAACTACACCCAAGGCGGCCGCATTACAAAGCCCCGACATCGTGCCTCTCTTTCAGCGTCAATTGCAGCTTCTCTTACAAGCGCAGTTGCTGCTGCCGAAACCGCCAAGTTCACTTACGGAGCAAAGGTTGCCGCGACTCTGGCTGCCACAACAGCTACAATGGTGGGGAATCTTGCAAGCACCACTACAACGGCCACGGCCTCGCCAAAGCTCAAGCACAACGGCTTGCCAACTTTACAGACGACGGCCAAGACTACGGCGTCTACCCCTACAGTTACCACCACCAACTCTACCGCTAGGGAATCTCCTGTGCTCTCTTTCTGGGGTCCTGAACCCATTGCCCTTCCTTCGCGTTTCGCTCGCATCAAGCGCAACCTTATTCACGGACACGAGGCCGAGCTCGAAGCCAGCTGGACCCGTCTTATTACTGCTCTCCGCGACGAGGTTAGCCGTATCGAAGATCTCGGCGCTCACTTGATTCCCTCGATTGAGTTTTCTGACATTGACGATGAAGCCCAGACTGCCCGCTTTGGCCATGACCTAAAGCGTTACGGTGTCGGAGTCATTCGCAAGGTCGTTCCACGAGCTGATACTGATACCGCTGTCCGCGAGACTGTCGATTACCTCGATAGCAAACGCCACATAAAAGCGCTCCAACACGACCCGGCATGTTTCGATTTCTTTTGGACCCCGGCCCAAGTCCGCTCGCGCGCGCATCCCAACATTCTCAGCGCCCAGCGATTTATGATGGGCTTATGGGAAACAAGCCCGGATGATCAACTTGTCACTAGGCTACCCATTACCTATGTCGATCGCATTCGAGTGCATGGCAATACGGAAAACCAGTCCAACGGTCTCAACGTACCGCCTCTTGAACCCCCACAATCCGCTGATGACTGGATTCAAGCTCTGCAGTCTTCGGCTGGGATCATTGCTCAGGTTGACAATGGCTCTCTGGAGCGCTGGGAGCCTGATGGCTATCAACATGCAGGGACTTACAACAATATTTTCCATGGCCGCTGGGAAGATCATGATCCATGGGAGTGCACCAGTCGTACCTCTGTGACGACAGATCTCTACAACGGTTATGGTGCCTGTACTATTTTCCGCATGTTCCAAGGAATCTTGGCCCTTTCTACGGTTGAGCCTGGCATGGTGCGTCTGCTACCGTCACCCAAACTAGCAACGGCCTACTACCTACTGCGTCCGTTCTTCACCACCAAGAATCCTCCTCCTGAAACGCGCAGCGGGCCTGAGTGGGATGCCTACTTGGCTCCTGAGAACTGGCAACTACAGCGGGACCCTGATTCGATCATTCACGGAGCTGTCCCAGGCCATGCACAGAGAATCACCGAAATCTGGCACCCGCACTTACACTTGAGAAGTAGCATGATCACATTACCCACGCTGCAGCCCGGTGACTACATCTTATGGCACCCTGATCTCCCATACTATCTCTCCAGCAACAACTATGGCCTCAAGACGCCGAGCGGTAGCAACAGCGAAGTCAGTATGCTCGTGTATATGCCAGCAGCTCCTCTTACACAAACGAACGCACTCTACCTGGCGCGGCAGAGAAAAGCGTTCCAAAGAGGCCACCCCGGTCCGGACTTCGACTCCACCGGTAGGGGTATAGTTGAAGAAGACTCCGATACGCGACCTGGAGAGAAGGAGATTGCCGACGTCGGTGGTCCGGCCGCATTGCAGGCCATGGGCCTGGCTCCTTGGGAAGTCGCTGGAACTCGTTCCGGATCACCACCCAGCGACAAGGCAAAATCCAATGAGGAGGATGTGGATATGGAGGCTGAGACTAGAAGCCTCATGAGCTCTTCCTCGATCTCACGAGCTGAGGCCGAGGTTGTGCGTCTGGCCAACATCATCCTTTTCCCGGACAGGTCAATGATGGGATACTCGGTTTAGACAACAACTATCTCATGCCCTAGTAGAAGATTTCTTTTCCTTTGTCATGTCTTTTCTATGTTATTTGCTACGGCATATTCACGAGCTGTGGATCGCTATGGGGATGAGTTGGATATCGGTCGGAATGCATCACACGGAGTTGAGGAATTGATTGTTCACGGGAGATAGACACTCACAGTCGTTGCGTGTAATGTTGGACTGAATAAAGAGGCGGATTTCCATTTAAACGATGAAGAGCTCTATACCAAAAACCACCTAAAACGCCGCATCCTCAACGCCTGTATTGTAGATCCTTATTCGATCATCAAACAATTTCATCCAAATACCTAATAATGTCTGTCACCAAGCAACTAGCTTCATCGGGCGACACCTGCTTGCGTGATCCAAAAACACCCATATCTAGCCGCGTACCATGAATTGAAGCCTCGATATCTATGGCCAGCTGTGATGATGAGTGTCAGCAAATGTTTTCTGGATTGCGCTTCTGTAGGGTAACATACCGGAATGTCATTTCTGACAGCGTTCTGTTGGAGCCAACCATGGGAAACACACGATGCGGGCTCATTGCCGGCTCCGTCAAGTGCTTCAGCAGGCAGCACTTTGACGGAGTTTTCGGCGGATTCTATGTCATCGGGGAGACTGAGGAAGTTCACAAAGGAAGATACCTGGACACCAGTCCACTGGGCAATCTCCCAAAGACCAACATCTGCCCGCCCATTCGAGACGATGAGATGAATGTCTTTCTGAATGGATTGCGCGATAGCGGTCAAGGACCGATCAATGGGTGCGTCCACCTTGAGCGGAACGAGATTCAGTGTTGGGTAAGTCGGAGGAAGATCATGATCGACACCTCGATTGGCGAGGTACATGCCGAAGACGACAGGCTCAGTTGGGGCGCAGTCATTTCGCGAGGCAAGAACTTTGGCATATGCCGCGAGGAAGAGAGACTGGATGGATACGCCGGTTTGCGATGCCAGTTTCCGAATGTGAGCGATGTCGGAGATGGCGGACTTTTGCAGGTGTGATACTCGCTCTTGGATATTGGATGATGACTCGGTATGCTCCTTTGCTAGAGACATGTCCTGCAGATAACTCGTCCAGAAGTCCTTCCTGGAGTTCTTGGCAGTGTCGGAGGATTGGCTGACCACGAAGTTTCTCCATTGTGAAAGACCCTTGTTGGGTTGGGCAGACTTCCCTTGGAGGAGCTCAGAGAGCCGCTGCAAGAGCGAAGGGAGGGCAACTCCGTCGTAAAGAGCATGATGGATCTTCAGACGGAAAAGCCAACCCTCGTCATCTTGTTCCTTGACATGGGCGCTGACCAATGGCTCAATAACACCACTTGCTTCAGTGCGTGGCTCAGATGTCGACAGCGGAATTCGGTGACTCTTGAGGATAACTTGCAAGAAGGGGAGTGTCGTAGAGCCCGTGGCAATAAAGCACGTCCGCAGGAGAGGGGATTCGGAAACGAGGCTATCCCAAGCTGTCTGGATGTCGTCCATACTAAACGACTTGTTGATTCGGCAGGGGAACTCGGGATAGAACACTGAGCCTTTAGCATTCTGCCAAGCACTCAGCATGTAAACCTGCATTGGAAGCGCAGGAAGCGCTTCAACTTCTGTTTCAGCAATATTGTAGTCACCGAGGAGCTTGCCCACGTCGACATCTTTCGGCGGCACCCAAGTTTCGGAACTTGCGGGCACCTGGGTTCCGTTTGTCGATGAAATCTTCACTTTGTCGCTCATATTGAAGATGTTTGCAGCCTTGATGAGATCCTGGGGCCGGAGGTTGAGACCTCTCTTTCGAAGGAGCGACGACACCTTGATGGCGCTGATTGAGTCGAGCCCGAGATGGTAGAGGCTGTCCGACAACTTGATAGACGAGATTGGAACATTGGAGACTTGGTGAAGAACTTCACGAATCTTAATTGAAGTGTGATCCCAATATTCGACTCCGTTAGGCAATTCTTCGGTCGGCAGAGCATCATCGAGGCTCGGGGTGTCGTTGAGTGTCACAGCAGGCATTCCACAAATGGATACACCTCTTTCGTTGAATGACAGAATATCCGAAGCACTTGACTTCATCAAGAATTCCATGATGTTGTCAAGTGTTGACATCAGTTGTTCGGGAGATCCTGCCAAGCTGTACTCGGGTTGATAGGCAATTCTCCAGACCAGCGCATCAGATATGGCCTCAGCTTCCACACAAATCGGGTACTCGGTAGCTGATGATCCATCGACGGACTTCAACAGAACCTGACCTTGGTCGTTGTCGGATGATGGCGACCTTTGAAGAATGAAGAGAGTATTGAAGAGACCTTGTCCACCAATGTTCGTGGCCAATTGCGCTTTGCGGAGTGGATAGTGTTGGAACTCTCGAATGTCACCCATGTTCTCTTCCAGGTACTGAAGGAACTCTGAGGACGAACCATGCAGGATGCACCGAAGCGCAACGGTATTCATCGTTGGGAACACGAGGTTGTCAGCTCCATCAAAGTCTCGTCCAGACATGATGATGCCAAATGTGACATCGAGGCTCCTTGTCTGTTGAGCTAGAATGATGGCCCAACAGGCCTGGCACAGGGCTTGCAGGCTGATGGAAAGCTTCTTGCAGAGGGAGTTGATCTCTCCGATATTGATCGTTGACTTGAACTCCCGTCTTTGCAATTCATCTACAGTCGGAGAGGAGCTTGACTCTTGCTTGGAGACGAGTGTAGGCGAAGCGCCGTCCAAGTATTGCGTCCAAAACTCTTGGGCCTCGGGGCTTTCGGACTTGGAAATCCTCGTAAGGAAAGGTTCCACGGGCGGTTGCGACACCTCTTTGCCCTCGTAAATGGCTTGAAGATCACGGAATAGCAAACTCAGAGACCATCCATCGTAGAGCGCATGAGCCATGGAGAGGATGACGAATCTTTGAGAACCAAGCGTCGCCAGCCGCAGTTGGAATAGGTTGCGCTCTCCATGCCCTGACCTGGCAAGTTCCTTTGCGGAGGAAGTAATGCGATTCATATCACTCAACTCCTGCAATGTTAATGTGTCAATGTTGATATCCGATGGCTTCGACACAACTTGGCAATATGTCATCTCGAGGTCCTGGTCATCAATCTCGAGGAAGCCCGTTCTCAAGATCGGGGTACGGCGGACAAGTTCTTTCCAAGATCCGAGGAGCTGGTCGGTGTTCACGCTCTCCGATACCTCCAGGACATCGTGGTTGAAGTATGACTCGAAATCAGACTGAATCATGCCTGCAACAATTGACTCTTGGAGGTGGGTTGACGGGAGTACAGACTCGATCGTCTCCAAGTTGAGACCAGAGCTTTCGAGATTTTGCCTCAGACGAAGCTTGGTGTTCTCCAATGAGTCTTCTTCTGCATGTTTTGGCAGATCGGAAGAAGCAAGGTTGCTCAGCTCAGTGACCATCCTGGAAATCGTCTGGTAGCGCATGATTTGGGATGGCGGGAGACTAATGCTTCTCTTCTTGAGTTTCGCTGAGAGTTTGATGACATCAATGCTGTCAAGGCCGACTTCCAGAATAGAAATCGTCTCGGTGACGTCCGAGGCTGCAACATCGGCCAGCATGGCGATTTCTTCCTGTATCGCTCGAGCCTCCTGAGTCCATTCGAACTTACTCTCCTCCGCAGGTGCTGTGGGGGCGTCAAGGGATACGCCATTGATGGGTGATGCTTGTACATCAAGGGCGGGCACTGCGCTGTCTGGAGATGATGCCATAAGCTCAGCGTCACGCTCGACTTCATCAAGTATCTCGTTCAATTTCGATGAAGATGCAATGTGTCCTTGTGCAACAAGCGTGAGTCGAAGCTTGCCTGAACGTGTATACACAGCCTCGAGTGCGAGAGGATAGTCAGGGCTGGAGTGACCATCAACAACGTCCCAGGCTCGATTGTCGTCCTGAGTGGGTTCGATTTGGTAAGTGAACAGGTTGTCAAACAACGCCTTTCCATTCGAGCACCACTTTTGGATGTTCTTGAGGGAAACATGCTGAAACTCGAGGACAGAAGCGTTGAACTCGTGGCATCGTCGGACTAGAGCCGTCCATGTCTCTTGTGGGATTTCCTTCCGGTAGAATGGAACTGTGTTGAACAATGGGCCGATGGTATGCTCGACGTCTACAAGGCCAATGACTCGACCAGAGACAATGACACCAAGGGTTGGCTGGCCAAGACAGAATCTTTGCAGTGCCGAGCTCCACAAAGCCATCACCACTGCTTGCAAGGTGACATTCTGAGACGAACGCATGGCTTCTAATCCCTCGGTAGGGATTTCGCGCACAGCAGTGATGGCTGTTTCTGGTATGTCCCCTCCGAGCTCGGGCATCGGCGTGAAAGACCAGCCTTGGAGATGACCTTCCCAGAACGGTCTGCAACTGCCGTGCCTGAGTAGTGGACCGTGACTCAGTGCTTCCAGGAAGGGTGCGCCGCGGGGGGTTTCCTTATGAGTGTAGACAGCAGCAAGTCGGTCCATCATGAGGTCGAAACTGTTTCCATCGTATAGAGCATGGAAAATGTGAACGACAAGGAGCTTTGACGTTGGTGTCTCAAGATAGGTGAGCAGTAGCGGTGTATGGATGAGAGATCTGTTTTTCTCAACCCAGTCCTTCTTTTGCTCCTCGAGGAATCCTTCAACAAGTTCTTGGTTCTCAAGAGCGTGTTCTCGCCAGGGGAACCGCGGTCTTGTCAAAGCGGCCTGGACGAACCCGTCAGTTGTGGGAACAAAAGCGGTCCTGAGAATAGCCTCCGACTCGATCAGGTCCTCCCAAGCCCTTCGCAGCAGGCCCACCGAGGTATCTTGATGAAGCTTGAGTTCAAAAGTATTGAAGTAGACACCCTGTTGATCGCTGGTCATGGACCTGGATATGATGCCTTGCTGCAGGGGCGAACAGGGGGCAATGTACTCGATGTCTGCGGGCTTCACGCCGAGACTTCGGCACACCATGCCACGATACCGATGGCCAAATGCCTG